CCTGGTCCCCATCTTTTGGTCCATTGATTTGGGAGGGGTGAAGAAATAAGTAGTATTCTACTTATTTCTTCTGCACTACAGAAGAAATAAGACTGGAGGTCAAGACATATTTAAATGCTGTAAGGAAATTGCTTTGCTTGTGCAAATATGCCCCTAGTGCTTTTTTCTGGGCAGCAGAGTGATGTTAGATTGTGGGCTGTGTTTTTGTACAGTTGTAAGCTGTGCTCTTTCTTTTTAGTAGGCTGTCGTGTTTCTAAAGTGAATGCAATACTGGCTAAATTGATACCCCGGTAGCCTGTTGCCCTCCATATATTCAGAGAACAACTGTACGATGAGCAGCTGCCGTGCTGAATTTCTGAAGTCACTCTGATCTAAATTTACAAGTGTTCTATGGTTATTCAGTTCTTATGTGTTAATGGTGCCTGGTGTGGACAGTTTGAAAGCAGCATTTAACATACTGAACAAAAGCCACTGAAAACTTTTTTATCCTTTCCTCAAGGAATGTCTAAGAAGACTAACAGAGGTACGCAGCTACACAAGTACTACATGAAGCGAAGAACATTACTGCTCTCGTTGCTGGTGGGTCATCAGAAGAATGGGGAAACTGCATGAATTTCTAAGACCCTGTTGTTGTTGCAGGATACGTAAACTAAAGTATGAAATTGGGAGTATTTTTTCTTCTTCTAGAAAACACTTTTTTTTTTTCCTGTTTCCCTCAGGCTACTGAGATTGAACGCTTAATTACATGGTACAATCCGCTGTCTTCCCCTGAGCTAGAGTTGGATCAAACTGGAGAGAGCAGTGTAGCAAACTGGAGGTCTAAGTATATCAGTCTTAGTGAGAAGCAATGGAAGGATAATGTAAATCTGGCTTGGAGCATTTCACCTCATCTTGCTGTACAGCTGCCTACCAGGTGAGATGTTTCAGAAGAAATTTCCTGCTGCTTTAGAAGTTGAGTGAGTACTTACACTGTAAGTACTGATGGCACTTGCTTCTGTTTACAGCCCCCTTGCATACTTTCACAGCTGGTTGAGACCTTTGAAATGAAAAGAACTGGATTACTTAACATACTCATTTGGCTCAGGCTCCAGTGGAGTCCAGCTTGCTTTCCTGCCACCCATTCTTTGCTAACACTTAGACAGTGTTTTGTTCAGAAGAAATCATGTTTGGTTTTTAATAGCATTTAACTCATTAGCAGGCATAGCATTTAAACAGTGCTAAAAGTATTGTTGAATGAAGTGTTCTAGCTATATATTGGCTTGCACTTTAATAAGTATTATAGGAGAATTAGCATAGTTGGCTCTGGAAGGGGAAGGAAATTCTTTCCCCCTTACAACAGTCATACTTTTTGCCAAGTAGAGTTCTGCACACTGGTTTCTGTAGAATCCCAGACAGTATATTTCAGCCAAGAATCCAGTAGTGGGCTAAAATACTAGTGGTTTATACAAAAGCATTGGATCAGGACCAGTTGTTCCTGAATCCTCTTTTGACAGCATATTGGTCCCTCAGTGTGCATTATTTCATAGTTGGACTATTTGTTTATTAAGCATATACTTTTCTGCCTTTGCTGTCCTCATCCTCACATAAATAGAAGAGGCTGTCAAAATTGTCTGATAATGTTATTGTATTCCTGGTTATATTTAGATTTAAGAACACTGAAGCTATTGGAACAGAAGTGACCCGTCTGGTCCGGTTGGACCCAGGAGCTGTTAGTGATGTTCCTGAAGCAATAAAGGTACTTGTGAATATTTATACTGTTACAGGGCCCCAGTATGCCCGTTTCATTCAGATGTGTTGGAAAATACAGTCTTTATTTAACACAGTGTATATTCTAGTGCTAACCATAGCTCTGTAGGAGAGAATGACAGAACAGCTGTGGAAATAGGGTGCTGAGGCAAGAATCACAGTAATAGGAGTAGGTGACTAGTTAGCTAATGGTACATCTTGCTCCTGTGTATATTCTTACCGTACACAAAATGTCTCAAAACTCATCACTTGCAGTACAGCCACCATTTCAGACCACTGGACCAAGTCATGGTGAGTGCTGTTGCTGAAATTATTTCAAGCTTAACCCATTCTGTGTGTCAAGAGGCCAGGCCTCTTGAAATGGAGGAGACTCATCATGCTGATTTGCCGTGAAGCACTCTAGTCATGTGAGGGACAGTCTTGTCAGAGCTGCATTCTGTACGTTACCTGTAAAATAGATGACAGGAAAACTGAACCTTCTTTGCCTCTTATAAAAGGGCTCATCCTTTCTTCTTTCTCCCTATGCTAGAACTCCTGTATTGTGCTTTTGGTAACTTGACTTTAGTAACTTCATCTGGTGATCTGGGAGGTGAGGTGATTCTAATAGTTAGGTTTCCATGGAAAAAAAAATGCTTTAGATAAAATAGTTGTGGTTTTGTAAAAGATTATGTACCATGTTTCACTTCCCCTAGCTAGATTATAGCATTACTGTCTGATGTGTATTACCCAGACATTATTGGGTGCTATAAACTCCTAACGTGTCTGACCTGCTTTTTCAGTACCTGGTTACCTGGCATACAATTGATGCTGATGCACCTGAGCTCAGCCATGTTCTGTGCTGGGCACCAACAGATCCACCAACGGGCCTTTCCTATTTTTCAAGCATGTATCCACCTCATCCTCTAACAGCTCAGTATGGGGTTAAAGTCCTGCGATCTTTTCCTCCGGTAAGACGAGTTCCAAGAGAGCCTTAACACTCCAAGTAATGTTATGACCTTAGTTGTGGCTACAGGCTTCATTTTAATACCATGGAGAGACATGCATGCTAAATGGGCACACCATGTTGCAGAATGTGAATAGATTGGGATGAAAAGTTAAAGTTGATTGTCCCACATAATACTGGCTCTTGTACTTGCAAATTTTTTGTTGTAAATCACACTAAGCTGAATTCTTCAGACTGCTCTTCTTAAATTGTTCCTTCGAATCTTCTCTCAGTGGAAAGGTGTTTCTTCTAAAGCAGCAGAAAGCTGGATTTTTAACACTTGTCAGACTTGTATTAGGACTGTAAAATACATGATTATTAATGATATTTTTGAAGGGAGTAACTGGACAGAAAAATACTTTGATTTGAGGAGGTGGCATATATAGAGTTTAAAATAAAGAGGCAGTGGTACTTTGTTCATCACCTAACTGAAGGGAGCTTTTCTCTATGCATGTGACCTGTCTTCCCTTCTGACTACTAAAACAATAACAATAAAAACCCTACCATCTTTTCTTTTTTCAGGATGCCATTTTATTCTACATTCCACAGATTGTGCAGGCACTTCGGTATGACAAGGTGAGGATATGAAACAGCTGCATATGAACAAAACAGATTTTTAAAGCAGCTTTTAGACTTAAAACTGCAAATCAGACAAAATTTAAGCTTAACCTAATGCTGTTTATTATTGTCCTATATCTAATACATAGGAGAAAAATTATTGTCTCTAGAGGCTGGCTTGCTTTGGATAGACCTCTTTTATGAGCAGGTAAACTTGAGAAACCAGAGGCTATGTAGCTCATCTGTCAGGCAAGAGATTTTGTTATGGGAAACCCCAGATGAGGACTCTGTCTCAGTAAAGCTTTTGAAGGTCTGCATGAGACAAGCAGTAATGAAATGAAATCACTATCCTTAATCATTTTGCTGTGGAGTTAACCAGAGAATACACCTAGGGGGTATCTTGTGCTCCATCTGCAGAAGCCAAAAGTAAAGCTTGATGACCAAGTTCAGATTTCATTAAGGTGAGATCATTGTTATCTGCCCACAAGGTATGTGAAGTCTGGTCAGTGCATTATTTTCAGGTGAAGACATCCGCAGCTGGTAGTGTAGGTATATAGCTATTCTTTGAGAACTTTGCATAGACAAGTATCCTCTGCAATGCAGAGCATGAACATCAGACATCTTGTCTATTAGTATCAGTCAAACATAGGAACATCTACAGACTACAGAAGTGGCTGCAAGTAGAGGAAAGGGAATGCAACTTCTGGACTGAGTAGGATTCCCTGGTACACTTCAACTTCTTCTGTAAGTTTGTTCTTATTTTCTAGAATTTCTGTGAAACTGTGCCAGCACATGCAGTTCTTGCCACCAGAATGTGCGGTCCATGTGACACTGTCTAGGTTTCTGGTATTACAGGGGCATTTAGTGATGCCAAGCAAGACCAATGTCTCTATTGCATTGTGCCTTGTACACATACTAGGAGATGCCCTAAGCTCAAACAGATTTGAAATCCAAATAGAACAGATAGAAAATGGCGCCGAAGTGGGAAGAAGGTTGGTTAGAATAATGGAATAGGTCGGTAATAAAGCTGAAAACAGTCTAGGTCAATTCACTACCTGTTAAAATACACTGTCATTCTTCAAAGGTCTTTTTAGCAACGTGAATGAGAATGCAGAGGTCTTCTTTCCATCCATTAAATATTTTTGAGTTTGAAGAATAGCTGTTAGAAACAATAATATCAAGTCTGCTAGAGTGGTAATGATCTTTGATCCTTACTGGACTGGATATGGTTGCAGATGGGTTATGTTAGAGAATACATCCTGTGGGCAGCTGCCAAATCCCAGCTCTTGGCTCACCAATTCATCTGGAACATGAAAACTAATATCTACCTGGATGAAGAAGGACACCAAAAAGATCGTGAGTGCTTTAAAATATAATCTAGCTTGACTCCTTTCCTTGTCTCAGTTCAGACTAAATCTCCTTCCTGCTTCTCTCTTGGCAGGAGGAATCCTTTTAGGTAGGAATTTCTCTTTCATTTGTAGAGGTAGGGCCCATTCTGTAGAAGTGTTCTACCTGACTGAATGCATCAAAAGAGATGGAGCAATGTTTTTATCAGTACCTTTTTTTGAATGCTATCTGAAGGTGGCTATTGCCATCACCCATATCATTTAGCTTTCTGAAATAAGCTTCTGACATAAATGCTTTCTTTTTCATATGCAGCTGACATTGGGGAACTTCTGGAGCAGCTAGTAGAGGAGATAACTGGCTCATTATCTGGCCCAGCTAAGGAGTTCTACCAACGGGAATTTGATTTCTTTAATAAAATCACCAATGTTTCAGCCATTATCAAGTAAGTATTGTACTTCAGAAATTGTGCTCTTTTGGAGCTCACTGTTCTGTTAATTACCAGTGTCCTGATTAAGAGGCTAAGTTGCTTTTAGGGGTATTGGGATAGTGTTTTCAGGGAAAAAAAATTAATTACTTATATGATAAGAAAAGGATTTTTTTCTTAAATGTAACTTCAGACTTGTAGTAGAATGCAAAGGCTCGTTCTAGTTTGACTTCTAGGGATAATTCATATCTGCCCTGATCTGAGTGCTCGTGCTTTGAGCTAGCAGTCCATCTGAAACAGCTTTAAATTTTTACTTCAGAAGCAGATGATTCTAAACTTGAACTTCAGTTTTTAATCTGATTTTATGAAATACATTGTGGTTGTCAATAGTGCAATGAGGTTCCATAGAAAAGTGCACTGATACAGGAATGGAATTGGTAAAGCAATTGGTGCTCTTGTCCTAGTTGAAATCCCATCAGTCTAGTTGTCACCTGCATCATTAATGTGGCTTTTTGGATATGCTGCCAATGTTCTTCGGAACAGTAAGCAGAGCTTGATTCAGGCAGGAAAAACAGCGCTTCTCTGTTTAGGTCTACCAGACTGACTGTCATTTTTTTGCATATTATAATTTGTAATCAACATTTTGCATGGAGCTTAAAAACAAACCAACCAACCAACCAACCAAAAGAACACCACAAAACCAAAAAAACCTCAAGCATAAGTAAAGGGTTTACCTTCTGCTAAAATGCCATGAAATTGTCTTTTCCTCTTCTCAAAGAGATTTCATTGTGCAGTGTAATTCAAAGACAGTTGTTCTTTTTGCATATGTAAGTCTTTTTTCCTTCATTCCTAAATTGTGGTTATGGAGAAAGATTTGGTGTTGTAAACATTGGATTGTTGACCTCTTAAAACTGAAAGTCCTGCTCATAGAGAGATTCTCACTGTTGACTCTGAAGACTGCAGTAAGATACGTAATTTAACTTTTATAAAGCTTGCCAGTGGATGGCAGCAGCTCAGCACACAAGCTCCAAGTCTGTAAGTGTGGTTTCATTGCATATTTTTAAAGCACTCTCTGGTGTATGAAAGTGTTTGAAAGTCATATAAAATGTATTTCCTGGAACATACCTCCTTTAAAAAGAAGCTTTGCAAACCACCAGTAAAAGGGTATCAGGCTGAAGGACACTTACATCACAGAAACAATCAAATATTAGGTGCCTTCTGTGTGCATGTTAAGATGTTTTCACCCAGCAGGATGAGTTAAAAGCAGGGTTAGGATCTGAATATCTTGATATTTAGAATTAAATCAATCCACCCTTTGTTAGTATGAAGTCATAATTAAGCAACTGATAATAACTGCTTTGCAAGCATTGCATTTTGCACCCGAGCCTTAAAATTAATCTGGTTTTTGTGCATCTCCAATGTAAAGACAACATCGAGGAGATGCCGTTTGCTTTGTAGATGGCATAAATGAATAAATGTCTCATCTGTGATGATTTCATTATCTTAAGTGTTATGTTGCTGCTTCAGTAATCTGCTGTACTGCTTAAAACTAGAGCATAAGTAATAACTTTCAGCTGCATGCTGCTACACCAGGTGAGCATGCAATTGTGTAACTGACTTCAATAGATGGTTAACATAAGTGCCTGTGCAAATTGGGTAATTGTGTGTACTAATCGTTAACCATGTTACCAATTATCCAGTTGACACCTGCAGTTGTGCTAAGTACGTGAACAAATTAGGCGTGTAATTGCATAGGCATTTTGCTGGCTTGTCCTTTTCCAGTTAGCAATGTTCTTACTCTAGAATAAGTTCCACAAGGGAAAATTATATGGGTATAACTATAGCGATGCTTATAAAGGTATAATTATGCTCAAATTTCTGTATAAGGAAGAGACTTCATATATTTCATTCACATCTCATATGCTGTCTGGGTTTGTCAACAACCTGTACGTCAAATCAATGTTAAATCTACAAAGCAAAGACTATAACCTTCATTAAGAGAAAATGTTCTGGTTAGGTATTGAGCCTGTTAAGTTCTCTAGAAGTGGTGCAGTAAGAGATTGTTGTCATTACCAGAAGAAACATTTTTAGTTAAGTTTGTATAAATTTGAAACAAATTTGAGGCTATTACATAGAATAATATCCAGCATGCAGATGAATAAAATACCATTCATCTTTCTAGGCCATTCCCTAAAGGAGATGAAAGAAAAAAAGCTTGTTTGAGTGCTCTATCTGAGGTGAAAGTGCAGCCTGGTAAGAAGTGGTTTAATCGTATAATACAGTGGGCTTTTTGCATTCAACATGAATACTGTGTTTTCTGCAAGCAAATCTTGAAACCTCTGCAAGTGACAGCTCTCATTTTTGGTGCTGGTGGCTGTTCTTCTGTTACAGTTGGACTGTTTATCTCTTGAAACAATTCAAATCTTTTTACCCACCTGATAATTTCTATATGGTGCATCAAAACTTGCCCAAGAGCAAGTTAGATAACACGCATCATGGATAAAAATAGAAACGTATGTCTGAAGAGGGAAGATAAATAAGCTCTTTTTCTTTGGACCACCTTCTGTTTTAAAAAGATGAGGTGCTTTTGAGAAGCTATGTTATCTCAAGAATGAAGCGTGTCCGGTTCCTTTTATTCTCCTTTTTCTCCCATCAGGCATTCCCTTGAAACATCACTGTCTGAAGGTTCTTACAAATCTTGAACATATGTTTTTCCAATCTTAATCTTCTCTTTAAAATGGAGTTTGGTGAAAGCTTTTCCTGATCTCTGTCTAACAGGTCTCAATTCTCCTACCATGTGTTGGTAGGTAAGGGTCCTCCCTAGTACACTGGGACATACTGCCACATCTTATTAGGGACTATTGCAAGAGAAGTCCTGTCTGTATATTTTTGTGGTACAGATTCTACAGTATTAGTTCAAAACTGTATTCTATTAGTTTCTGTCAATCACTCACTAATGCAAAGGGTATTGCATCCTTTGTGGCTCACAGATTGTAATCTCTGGTTTATCTCTGACATTTTATTTAATTCACAACTGCGTACTAAAGTTACAGACACCAACATCGGTTATTCTCCAACTTGCATTGTCACACTAGCCAATGGATTTGTTGTCAGCTGTCTGCTCCATTTTGCAGGCTGTTACTTGCCCAGCAACCCTGAAGCTATTGTTCTGGACATTGATTACAAATCAGGAACTCCTATGCAGAGGTACCATACTCTTGTTGTATTCTTCTATTAAGTTAATTCATGATATTTAGGTATTTTTCTAGAAATTTTTGTTTGGCTAACTTGCACTCATCATCTTTGTTTTTATTGCAATTTAGTGCAGCAAAAGCGCCCTACCTGGCCAAATTTAAAGTGAAACGATGTGGAGTTAGTGAGCTTGAGAAAGAAGGTTAGTAACTGCATATTCATCACTGACGCTACTAATTAAGAGTCAGCAATTCCTTTAAAATCACCTGGTTTTAGTGACCTGTACTGCTGCAGTAAAATTATTTCCATGTTGAACTCTGCAGTGGTTTAACTTGGAAATGAACCTGGATCAAAGGAATAGAAAATAAAATTTTGGAAACTTAAATCCATTTTTTGCTTGCTTTTTTCTTTTTTTTTTTAAGTCCCAGGAAGCAAGCCACATAGGTATCTTGAAGAAATGTTAACCGTTACTTTAGACTAACATATAAATTGATTGCCTTTCCCTGGTTTTTAGACTGTAGCAAACTCCAGGTTTTGGCAGTTTTTTCTCATAATAAGTTTTGTGGGATGCTCTACCTGACTAGCTTAATGGAATTCAGGCATTTATTAGGTAAATCATGAACACTATTTTGATATGTTCCAGTAGACAAAGGGAACTATCTTACGGCATTCACCTTGCAAGGCAGAAATACCTGTAGTGCATCTGCTGTGAAACATTGTATTTTTGAGTGCAGAGGGCTTGCCATGATAGAAAGTTACTAATTAAAGTCCATGTCTGGGTTTTGCTTTGTCCTCTTCTGGCAGGTCTGCGTTGTCGTTCTGATTCCATAGATGAAAGTGCAGAAGAAGGGGTGGACAGTAAGAAAATCTGTTGGCAGGCAGCTATCTTTAAAGTGGGCGACGACTGCAGACAGGTACAAAGCTATCAGGCTTTGCAGTTACAGAAGACAGATTTGTAGGTGACAGTATGTAAGAACAAAATAATTCTAGTATAGAAATATTTTTCTTTGGGATTTTGAGAATCTCCACTACTTATGGACTGAGGGAGAGAACTGTGCTGTGCCAGTAGAGAAATTCTGGTTTGGAAACAAAGGCCATTCTTTCAAGACACTTTACCATGACTTAACATTTTCAGAGTTTATTTTTCAATTGAACTATTGGTAACATAGGAGTAGTTTCCAATGTGATCTCTTGTACATTGAAGTTTGATTGGTTTTGATTAAGAGGGAATGCTAGCTATTATCCCTGGAGTTATCAGTTGCCTTCTTACCAAAGAGCAATGGAAAAGTTTGTTCTTCATAGGTCAGCAGTTAAATCTTCAGTGTTGCTTGCTACCCACTTAAGCAGCATTTATCCTGTCCCTTTTTGATTTCACCCAGAGCCACAGTGCATGCACAAGCACACATCTGCAGACCTGCTGGGGTAGCTTAATGTTCACTTCGGAGTTCTTCAGAGCATTTTTGCAATCTAACTTATGATCCGTAACCCCTGTAATGCTTGTGCAATTTTTTTCTTGTATAACAGGACATGTTAGCTTTACAAATCATCGATCTCTTCAAGAACATATTTCAGCTGGTAGGCCTGGACCTCTTCGTGTTTCCATACAGAGTGGTGGCCACAGCTCCTGGGGTAAGCGGGCAATTAACTGTACCGCTGTAGAACGTAGTTCCTAATTTAAAAAGACTTTCTCTTCCAGCACACATAAAAATTTCATACTGCAAGGAAATGTTGCCCACATCACTTATGCCAAATATTTGGCGTACCAGCAACAAAAAGAGTCTTTCCTCTCCTGTTTCCTGCTTTTCTAAAGCTTTTGGCTCTGAAATTTTGCTCTCTGTGGTTATTCATGTTTGTTGTTTGATTTTTCGGACTGCATTGTGCAAGTCAGTGGAAAGTCACAGAGCTTGTCTTATGTGGCATGGAAATCCTAAAAAAAATTTATATACTTTTTTTTTTAAATGAATAAACTAGAAATTCTGTATTCAGTGATCTGTAGGCTTCCCCACATTTCCCAGGGGACCTGTATGACTGCCAAGAGCCATGAACAAAATATATGTTGGGAGCGTGCTTTACAGACCTGTTTCTCTTCTTCCCCTTCAGTGCGGTGTTATTGAATGCATTCCTGACTGCACATCCCGTGACCAGCTGGGCAGGCAGACAGACTTCGGGATGTATGATTACTTTACAAGGCAATATGGAGATGAGTCTACCCTTGCATTCCAGAAGGTAAAATATCAGTTGGCAAGCACAGCAAAATCTCAACTGAGAAACGTTCTAGCTATAAGAAATAATGATAAATAATTGGATAATGACTACCATAGTGCTGTATCTGGTTTCTGATGCTGATAATCCATTTTTAGCTATGAGTGAGTTAGCTAAAGAAGTTACTGCAGCTGTAGATGTATGGAGAATATCATTGAACATTGCTTCAAACTAATCATGAATGGAAAAAAAGAAAACAACTTTGTTCATCTGTATCTGCTCTTGGGATGGAGAGTTATTAAATTATCTGTGTTCTTCTGATTTGTTTTAACTTCTTGTTTGTACAGGCTCGTTACAATTTCATCCGCAGTATGGCTGCGTATAGTCTTCTCCTGTTTCTGCTCCAGATTAAAGACAGGCATAACGGCAACATCATGCTGGACAAAAAGGGGCACATCATTCATATTGGTCAGTCATATCCACATTCGAATTTCAGTAATTAACCTTTTTCTTCTGCTGTAAAGTATTGCTCATAGAAGACAGTAAGCCATTTCCCTTTTGAGATCAATCTATATACTGATTTCATAGTTTGTAAATATACCTGGGATTTTTTCATGCCTGTTCAGTATTGTATGTATATTTGTGTTGGCTGCTTCTGTGTAAATTTAGCTTTGCAAAGTTTTACCAGCTTCAGGAAAGTATGTACACACATATGTATGGATTATGCATGTATATGTACTAATGCATTCATACAGACATATATGTGTGTGTATATATATGTATAAATATATAAATGTATCTTCAGGTTCCTTTCATCACTGTATGGGTATGAATTAAATTTTACAAGTAAATTTATATAATTGTGCGAGGCTGTAACCTCTGCTTTAGCTTTGCTTTTCCGGAACTGCACAGCTGTTTCAGCAAGGAGTTTATCTGATGTCATCATTCTTACGTCTAGTCTAATGTCATGGTGATGATTCTTTTGTTGCTGTTCTTATACTTCACCAAAGGTTTTTTCCAGTTGGAGTTGAAATGTTGGTAGAAAATGCAGGTATTAATTCATTAAATCCACCTCTCCTTTCTTCTGTCAGCTTTGGCAGCACACAATTAACCAACAAAGTTTATGAGGGAGCTTATCTTTTGTGCACAGATTTTGGATTCATGTTTGAAAGCTCACCTGGTGGAAATCTGGGCTGGGAGCCTGACATTAAGCTGACTGATGAGATGGTGATGATAATGGGAGGAAAAATGGAGGCAACTCCATTCAAATGGTTTATGGAGATGTGTGTCAGAGGCTATCTGGCAGTCAGGTAAGGTGTTCTTAACTGCTCAAAAGTGGAAGTGCTTGCATGCCTAAAACCAGATGAGAAGATAAATAATAATACACATTTGTCTCTAGGGGGTCTGAGTCTGTCAGACTGTTCTGGTACATCTTGCAAACTTTGAAGCAACTTAATAATCCTGCAATTTTACAGCCTAACTTTGTAGGGTTTTTCCTGTTCTTATGTTATATTTGATAATTTTATATATTATACTCAATTTATAAATGTGATGTTACACACATTTCCACACACGATTTAGTATGCTGTTAAAACTTTCCAGTAAGAAACTACAGGAGAATCAAAATCATTCTTGTTTTTGCAAATAGGACAATCACATTGATCACTATTTCAGCTAGAGTTAATTAAGTAGGAGAAGTGAAAAGTGCTACAATTTTCTGATGTAAAATACGCAGGGTTTTGGTAGCTCAGCTCTTCAGCTGTGATTGCCAGCCTGTCACAGTAAAGATTTGCAACTTTACCTTGCTCCACACGAAGCAAACAGGGTTTGCTTTAACATGCAGGAGCACTAATAAATCTATATGAAGAGGATGTTGCATGTGGGTAGGAGGAGGACAGTACAGTAGAGTCCAGATAAAAGCTCATTCAATCACAAGTATAAAGTATTATTGATGTTATCTTACAGAATCAAAGTTTCTTCAGCTAGTAGCCCCAGAAGGGGCTGTCTTGGAGTCAAGATCGGTTTGGTTCCTTGGAGGGGGAGCAGTCTGGAGAAAGTTTTGTGTCAAGGCAAAAATGTGACCCAAGTAGTAGAGTAACAGCTTGGTAGGTAATAAATGTTCTGAGTGGGAGGAGAGGAAGGAGAAGGGAAGCTGGACTGATGTAGCAAAGAATTACACAGAGTAATTAGGAATTAGAAGATAATCTGTTACTGTGGTAGTGCTGGTTTCAGCCTTTTGTACTGTTTTGATGCACTGATTCACCTTTCTGATGACAAAGAAATGTTGTTTACTAAAGCATTGCATTGTATAATCCTCCTTGAGACTGTTCATCTTGCAGCATTCTGAGTATCTGGTAGTCCAACATAAAGGGGTGAAATTTATTTAAAGTGACAGATTGCAAGCAGTAGTGTAGCTCCACCAGCAAATGTAAGAGGATTACATGTGTTGATTTAATTACAGAAAAAGGTGTGATCCAGCTTGTTGAACTTCTCAGCTTGCCTGCTTTACCTACTAAGGCTGCAGAAGTTTGAGCACTGTAACCTTTTTGTCCTCTTTTTCTCTAGGCCTTACATGGATGCTGTCGTCTCACTGGTTACATTAATGTTGGATACAGGGCTGCCCTGTTTCCGAGGGCAGACAATCAAGCTGTTGAAGTAAGTCAGCATATGTGTGAACTGGAAAATATTCGTATGTTCTTCACAGAATGTATCACTCACTGTCACAACTTGTGCAGTGAGTATAGGTGTCATGCTTCTCAAATATCTTAAATGTCTTAACATTGTAAAAATGGTAACTTTTGTTTATAGAATATCTCAGAAAGTAGGAATTCCAGAGGCCTTTTCATAGAATTAAGTTCAAGCTGTTCAATGACTGTGCAAGTACGTGGATTATCTTTTAAGTTCATAGGACTAGCAAAATGAGACTCTCTAGAGGAAAGATCTGCTTTAATTGAGAGGTAATGTGTTGCAGAGTCTGATGCCCTCTGAAAGGGACTCTGAAGAACAGCATTTTGAAATTTGTTCTACAGATAATGCAAGCTGAAAGGGACTATGTTGTAACATCCAACAGCTTAGGCAAATACAAATTCTAATGTAACACTTTAAACAGCCCTTCAGGCTTATGCCTCCAGAGTTAGCTCCAGAGTGAGCAGAGTTAGCTCAGCATTTCCTGCATATAACTTCCCACGATTTCCTGAAGATAAGCACAGATTCGTAAAGTATGATGGGCTGGAGCTCAAGGGCCCCACCAGGTACAAAGATATTTTAAAAGCAGCAGCTGCCTAGAAAGAGGGATCTGCTGTTCCTAGAGTTACCACTAGACTGATGAAAAGTTCACAGCCTCGGTCTCCACCGTAAGACTAACAGCCAGTGCTTATTAAAACATTACCTAATTTGTATGAGGTAGTCTCACAAGAAGTAGGTACTTGCAGCAAGTGAAATTAGCACCCAGCTGAGCTTGTACAAAGACACATTTCTATCATGCTCAAAGGAAACCTCACTAATTTTACTCTTGCTTTTTGTGATTTTCTGCATATAGACACAGGTTCAGCCCGAACATGACCGAACGGGAAGCTGCAACTTTCATCATCAAGATCATCCAGAATTGTTTCCTCAGCAACAGGTTTGGCATCTATGCATGTCTTCTCCCTATGGCTAAAGGAAGGTCATCAAGATTTGAGCAGAACTAAAAAGTAGAGTTTTATCAGTCAGATACCAAACATTTTTGAGTTGTTGATATTTAGCTAGTGCAGGATAGCAGCTTTCCTTCTGAACATGCTGCATCTTCTCCCTTTTATGCTGGGAAGGAAGGCTTAAGCCCAGGCTGGTCAAAGAGCAAGGCTGGCTAGTCTAAAGAATAGAAGATTTTCTGCCAGAGTAATCTTTGGCCCGAAAGTTAAGCATTTTGGCTCCTACGTTAGGGTATGCCCAACTGTACTATTAGGGTTATATGTCTAGTTGTGATATCCCTTTTATATAGGGTAGGGTCACCTCTACGAATAAAGGGATAAATAGTAAAGAATGGTATTGAACAGCAACAGGAATAGCATGCCTTCTGGTCAGAATGAAGAGAGATTGATCTTGAAGCTTGTTCCCTTCTATTTTGTAAGGAGAAGGCTTCTTAGAAAACAATATGCATGGTCCATTGGTCTGAGTAAGAATGAAGCTGAAGCAGGACTACAGTGACTTGTCAAAATCTTTTTTATAATTGCTTGTAGGCATTAAGTTGCCTGAATATCCTCCTGAAAGTCAAAGCTGCTATTCTGTGCAAAAGTGTGTTTGACTCTTCTCTAGAAATGAGTTCTAATCTTTCTACTAATTTTTTCTTTATGACTTGATTTTACATTAACATACTAATCATTTTGCTAGGCCATATGTTACTTACTGTATAATATTGGCTAGGGAAAATGCCTCAGGTAGAGAAAACTGGCAATGTGGTTTTTGAATGTCTTTGTAGCTTGGCCATGTTTATTTGTCATCTGCTATTCGGTATGCTGAATGGAATAATCAGTTCTTAGCATTTAAAAATCAACTTAATCACCAGCTAGCCAATCAACTGTAGGTTTTTTCCCTTCAGGTATACAAATAGTTTGGTATCTTGTGCAAAACTGTTGAAAGGAAATGACATGTAAAATATAACTTCAATACATTCAATACTTTAAATACAATACATTTAATACTTAAACATCTTAAGTGCATGTTTTATTATTATCCCAGATAATACAGACTTTGTGGGATATATTGGAGAGTCTAATACAAGCTCTTGTGTAGTTCCATATAGGGTCAGCTTGAGACCAGTAGGGCTTACTGGCTGAGATACAGCCCTGCTAGAACTGAATTGGATTTTCTAGTGCCTGCTGGTGCATCTGCTCAGAATCTTAGATTAATATTGGGGGTTATGAAGGCAGTCACACTACTGTGTGAATGCCCAGAGCCAGCTTAGTTCTGACAAGCTTGAGCTTCTCTGCCTGTGGCATGGTTAGTCTGTGACCTGAATAAGCTCTGCCCACGGATAATTGAGTTATCTGTAACAAGGCTTAGATTTATTTGTTCAGTCACTCATCAGAGATGCTGCTATTAATGCTGTTATTTCCCCTGCAGTTTTATTTTCATTATTGGCATTCTCCTTAATTAAGATTACTTTTATTTCCACATAATCCTGTCTCTGTGCAGCCCTGATGATCTTGCTTCATTCATTATGTATTTCCTTCTCCTAAAACAAACTGCCAATGCAATGTGAGGTGCTTCTGGCTTATCCAAACACAGGATCCAAGCTGCTGTTGCTGTTGCCACACTGAGAAGTATGGAAATACTTTCTTCACCTAGTTTAAACAAGAGCAGGATGTTTTGTGCTGTTCATAACAGTAACTGGGCCTTCACAATGCCTTCAAAGCATGTAGGGCTAGTTTAGATTAGCAGCTAATTTCCTTCACCCATGTTTTGTTTCTGTGAGATCTTGATGTTTGTTTCTGTGACAATGGGTGCAGTGTTTTTTTAAACTTTACTTACTGCTGGCTTTTGCTTTCCTTCTCTAGGAGCAGGACATATGACATGATCCAGTACTACCAGAATGACATCCCATACTGAGAGACACTGGAGATTTACTGCCGAAGTGAAACATGCAACCCCGTGCCCTCACTCCAAACTTGTAATAAATAGGAGATGCTCAATCACACCTTCCTATCTTCTATCTTTTGTGCATGTGTGTGTACATGTGGGTACATGTTTCCTGGACATTGCAACAATCAGTCTGATTCATTCCTTTCTCTTTACCAGGTTATATATATTTCTGGTTTTCCCTGGATTTTTGGAGTTGGGCTGCAATCACAGTAAAAATTGTACAATGATTATGAATGTGTGAAAGAGGTCAAGCTTGTGGAGTTTGATAATTTTTCATGCAATGCAAGGATTTTATAATGCCTTTAAAAAGTAAAAAAACAAAAAACAAAAAAAGAAAAAAAAATAGCGCTTTCCTGCACAATCCCACAAAATGCCATGGAAGGGAAGGGTATGGATTTCTCTTTGGACTTGCGTTTACCGTAGAAAAAGCCTGATAATCATCCAAGGTGGTGATGTCTGTGTAGGTGTGTTCATACTTTGCACTGTACATGGTCCCTGCTATGTGGTCAGTATTTCATATGTACATGAAGAATGTATTTTTTTCCTCTTGTGTGTTTTAAAAAAGAGACTCTACTGAAGATATATTTAATCTATAAAACGTAATAAAAGACCTTAGACTTTGTGTCTGTTGCAAATCTTTTGCCACGTGCCGAGTTTTAGTATATACTACATCATTCTGCGTGTTTGCATACTGTTCGTTATATTGTGACCTTTCTACTGGAGAAATAAGATTTCTTCTTCAGCTTCTCATCCATCTTAAATGAAATTTTTTATTCATAAATGTTTTGCGCACGACTCTCATATAGAGCTGAAACGCAGGCCCAAGCTAAAGCTCCCCCCGTGCTGCTTACAAAGTAGCCCCACCCTGGGCTGGGACACAAGTCCTCGGGAAACCGTTTGTCCCTTTCTACAGGCTTGTCATTCTGGAACGTGCTCTTGAAAATTTAGACAGGCCCATCTTTAGTTTTGGGGTTTTTTTCCCTAATGTCCAGTCCATGCCCGCTGTGGGCAGGGGCTGCCGGGAGCTGGGCCGGGCCGGCGGGGCTGGCGCCCGGGCACAGGGG